TTCTGTGCAGTGCTCATTGTATTAATAAGCAATACTAAATCATTTCTTAAAATGCATCATACTCTGTTAAGTGACTCAGAATTAATAGATATAGTGTAATGTAAAAAATATAATTTGTGTATAAATATCGTGCCTCTATAATACATTCAGTTTTACAGTTTTAATTGGGAAGTCTAACTCAAAACCAATTTTCTAAGACTCAAAGAGACACTGACATAAAATTTAAATTCAGAACTTAAGATGAAATGCAGAAATAGTAAGAAACAAATTACAAATGTATGTGTACCGTTCTGTATCATTTTAGAAGTCATAAACACTGAAAAGATTTTGGTTCTTCCCCTTCATTCTCTAACCCATATTTAATTCAAAGATAAAAATTTAACCCAAAAAATAAATGTAAAGGAGTCCTACAAAATCTGATTTTTCCTGTAAAGATAATTTTGATTTTCTTTTTGGGGGGGGCGTACTAAATATCAAATTTTCTCTCTCTCTTTTGTATTCAGATTACCGGATATCATTGGTATCGTTGCTTTAATATATGAATTTCCCTTTGGGGATATGTAATATTTAATATTTGGTCACTTCCTCTTCCCCTTTTTCAGATTTAATTTTGAAGGACTATAAATGGAAAACATGTATTCCTCAGTCATGAAATGGGTTTAGTGAAAAGCAGTCTTTGGTTTATTAAACACTGAGATCACTAGGGATGATCATTCATCTTAGAATTCCAGTGACCTGGCAAAAACTCCACAGTTTTCGACCACTGGACAAATAATCTGTAAAGTGCACATGTGCTCTGGGGGCCACCCAGACAGGTTGACATTGGAGATTCCTTCTGAAACAGCTTAGAGGGAGGCATTGGGAGTAATGGAGGTGTGAACACTCTGAGTAGCAACAGCTTACATTCACCACGCCTGAGAGTGCTTCCCCAGGGGGACTGGGCCGTGAGCCCGCTGGATCCCAACTCCGCTTTATCCCGAGGAATATCTTCTTCCGAGTAGCCTAATATTTTTCACTTTAATCTGTTAAATTGCTTGGAAGCTGATCAAATGTAGATTTGCTTTGGTTAGTGTGTATGTTAACTCTATGTTTTGATTTGATTTGATGACATGCAGAAATTGTGACATGGGTAGGGTAGGAGATAGATCCGGAACTGTCATTTGGGACCGTTTATCAGAAGCCTTGAAGGAGTTTGTCCTAAGTATTAACAGGCTGTGGAAGGTCTGGAGCAGATTTGCAGATTTTTTTTTTTTTTTTTTAATGCAGAGTTTGATGGATGGTGAAATTCAACTGAAGTGCTGGGAGTTGCTTTCTGAATTCTTGTATCTAAATTTAACTGACTTGGGAGCCACACATTTCAGAAATTAACTCCTAAAAAGATTCACAGATTCCATCAGAGTTTTCCATCTCATGGTAGAATATTTGACTTCTATTCATGTTTCATTATAAATCCACTAATCCACTAATTCATATTGCTTTTTTTCTTTGCTGGGAATCACACAGGAGAGAACTGGAGTTTGGCTGGCATAGGAAGAGGAGTTCGTTGAAAAGTTTGTACATTGGGACGGTTGTGAGGATCTGAGACACGTTAGCTTGGACAAGCTTACTCATGCCAAAGGCACACATTGCTTACTTGAGTTGGTGTTAGCAGTATTAAAGGTGCCTGTATTAGGAGTTCAGAGGGTCTCAGTGGGCTGGCCAGGGAATCTGTCAGCACTCAGAACACTGTTTCTCTGGGAAAATGAATTCCAGTTTCCAAATGACTACCCAGAAATTGGCACAACTTGTTCATTAAGTGGCACTGCCGAGGATTAATGGTTATGATGAATGATAGGAGATTATTGTTACGGTTATGATTAATGGTTATGATTAATGATATGAGTGACTATTAGAAGCCAGTGAATGTGGAAGATGAGAAAATGTGTTAAAGCTAAAAAGAATTTAGTTCTCCTGTGGTTTTCCTTCACTTGTTGGTGCATTGATACCATTCTTTCCCTGTTTTCTGGTGATAGTAGAATTTCACTTCTAGGAGCAAAATTTAGATTAGGTGTTTGTCATAGGGAAACCTTTGTGTACAGAAATGCTTCCCTTAGGGCTTATTGGTTAATTGTGTTTACACAAAACAGTCATTAGGTGTTGGCCGTGTTTGCAAACAATGGCAAGTTGGTGCCTAGGTGTTACTTGAGAGGAGTGGCACTTCCTTTCTGTTGTCATTGATTTAAATTGATTGCAAATACACATTTTAAATTTTTTTCAAGATATTGTATGGATTAAGTTTGGGATTTTAAAATGTGATCTTGTGGATGAAGTCATTGCGCTAGAAAGTGGGACTTATAAGTTTGGGGGACTTATATAGGTTATTCATTCAATCATTGTTTACTCTGTGCCTATTGTAATTACACTGCCTACGAGGCCCCAAACCCTAGGGACCATATAACAAAATAAAGTACTAAAAGAAAATAAAATCAGGACTTCATAGCCTAATTAGAAAGAGAGAGGTCAGGAAAGCAAATATCAAAATATTTATCCAATAGTTTCTTTATGCAAAAAAAAAAAAGTAATCTATTTGGATTTCTCTATATTTTTCCATTTTTACTGTGTGTGAATTTTGAGTCACTCTTGACAAAGATACTTACAATGGTCCCATTTGGGGTTTTAGGACTTTAAATAAAAGTGAAATACAAAGTGTAAGGGGAATAGAGATTCTTGCAGTAGGTGCTTGTTTAGAACTGAAGGATGCGGAAGACATCCCTGGGCCTGGAATTGTACTACTGTGTCTGTCAGGAGAAGAGCTTTTGCTTCTCTGGCTTTCCCTCTTACCCTCTACTGGTTCAAGAGTGAGTGTGCATGGCCCCTCCTACAGGAAACCGCCCCTGGCCCTTTTAATAGCAGTTACAATAATGTATCACCTGTCTGGCAATAATGTGTTTAGATTCTTATCTCCCGCTGTAGACTATACTATTGGAGAGGGAAGGGACCAGCGCCTGGCATAGGTCTCTGGCTCATCCTTGATACTTGTTACATTTAGTTTCTTCCTTCAACCACCGTCCTTTCTCTTCCCTAACATATTTTGGTGTTTTGTAGAATAAGGCAGAAGGAAGGATAAGGCATTTGGATTTTAATCTGTAGGCAAGAGAAAACTATTAAATGTTAACCTGTGGTCAAAAGAGAAATACTAAAGGGCTTGAACAGGAGAATCACATCATCAAAGATGTGTTTGAAAGAGACTGAAGACAAATTGAAGGGGCGTGGTGCTTCTAAATAGCCATATGGACACCTAGCAAAGCTGGTGAGATGGTGTTGACGCATCTCCACTGCTTCATGAATATCTTTGGCAATTAAAAATCTGAACTACCCCAAATGGCAATCCTTAACATAGTTACGAGTGATTCTTCTCCATCAGTTTATAACCTCCACCACTCAGGCAGCCCTTGGCCAGGAAACTCAACCTCCCACAACACCACGCATCAATAAAATGTTAAAAAAAATTACCCACATACCATTTAAAAAAACATTTAAAATATTATTTATAGCCATTTAACACTTTGCAGGTATTCACGTCCAGGTTAGTGTGCTATACAACAGCACCTTCAGTAGAAAGACTATTAAATGCACAGGAAGGAGGGAATGCATTATATGCTTCTGCCTGTCAAAGGAATTTGTTATATTACATCAGCAAAGCAATGGGCTGTAGCTCAAAATGTAGCCTAATTACATGGGCTTAATAATACAGTAGTTAACGTGATTGATAAAGCTGGATTTTACCTTCATTCAAGCAACATTTATTGTAGTGTTAAGACTGTTCAGACCACTCTGTGGCATGGCCTGTGGCCTTGCCAAGGGGCTGGGTGTCTCTGGGGAAAACAAGTAACAAATGTAAGGAAGGGAGCGTCCTCTGTGCTTTCATGAAGGTATATGCCAGGTGCTGGGGAAGCTGGGAGGAGCTGTGGTGAGCTCATTAATGCTGCTGCCTGGGGCCGTTTCCCGGATGTAGCTGCACACAGGCCTCAGGGCAGAGGGGAGGCAGTGAAGGACAAAAGGAATGAGGAGGATTGATGAGAAGGGAATGTAGTTTGAGGAGAAAGATTGTGAATCAGAGAAGCAAAACTCGGTTTGAAAGTGACGCTAAAAGCATTAAATCTTACCCAGGATACTGTTTTTGTTTTTTCAGATTAAAATATATAAATGCATGCACATAGTAGAAATTTGGAGATGGGGTGCCTGGCTGGTTTCGTCAGTGGAGCATGCAGCTCTTGATCCCAGGGTTGTGAGTTGGGGCCCCACGTTGGGGATAGAGATTACTTAAAAGAAAAATAAGATCTTTAGGAAAAAAAAAGAAATTTGGTGACAAATTTATATATACATATATATATATATATATATATATATATGTATATGTTTTTGACAAACATTTTAAAGCACAAATAAAATAGTTTTAATCCCAACCCCTGGAAATAGTGTCCCATTCTGCTTCAGTCTCACAGCAGGGTATGTCACTAAAGAGTGTGACAGGATCTGCTCTGGACTTGGAGTGACAGGGCATTAGGGGCCCAACAGGGAGGGTACTCTCTTGGGGGGTGGGTGGATGGGGGAGGCCCAGTAGGACAGAGCTGCCTGCATGGAGCAGACCCATTAGGGACGTCTGGGATGGGGCACAGCTACGAAATATGTAAGAGGGTCCATCCATGAGAGTTAATGACCTATTGAATGTGGGCTTGAGGAAGAAGAGGAATAAGATTTCCATGGGGTTTTTCTGAGTCTGTTTCTCACTTGGGCAAGTTGTTGGGAGTGGTGCTACCAGAAAATATGGAATGCAGGAAGAAAAACTGGTTTGAGAAAGCTAATAGGTTCCATAGGTTCCATTTCTTTCTCTTTAAAAAAAAAAATAGTAAACTTTATTTTTTTGAGCAGTTTTAGGTTCACAGAAAAAATTGAGCGAAAGGTACAGAGAGTGCCCATATGCCTCCTGGCCCCCCCACCCCCACCCGCATGCATAGTCTAAGGTAGTATGATGTCCTCCAACAGAGTGGTTCATTTGTTACAACTGATGAGCCTACACTGGCACATCATTATCACTCCAAGTACACGGGGTGTTGTACATTCTGTGGGTTCGTGCAGCTGTGTCATGTGCAAATAATAGTATCAACCACTATAGTATTATGTGGAATGGCTTTAGTGCCCTAAACGTCCTCCGTGCTCTACCTATCCATCCCTCCCTCTCCCCAACTCCTGGCATAGAGTCCATTACTACATTGGAACGTATTGCATTTAAGGATCCTGGAGTATGGAAGTCAGTGGTGGTCAAATTTTAATTAAAAAAAATTTTTTTAAGCCAACAGGACCCTTTCATCAAAGAAGCCTCACTAAGTAAAGCTGAATGAAGCAGGGCTGCTTTGGTGGATGGTGGCTTCTGCAGAGGGACAGAGTTGAGGCTTTGCCCTTCCCCTGGCGTCCAGCTCCGCCCTGCTGCTCTCTTGTCGCTGCCACTGACTGAGTCTCTCTGCTGTCTCCAGAATTCTGAAGAACACTGTTTACAGACTGCACGGTAAGCAAGTCTGGAGTTGGAAGGAAGGGCTGGTCATTCCCAGATGCAGCGACCTCAAACTCTTGTGCTTCTGAGACCTGCTGTCTGTTTTTCAGTAGTTTGTTTGCTTGTATTCCTCTGTTCGGCTTGTTTTGGTCCCTTTCCTTGGGGTCCAGCTGCCAGCTTTGATTTCACTTTGCTGTCGTGTGCCTCCTAGTAGCTTCTCCTCTTCCTTCTCCCAGTGTGCTGTTCTGGTTTGCTGTAAACTTGGAAATCGTATAAACATGCTTGTTTAAACGTAGCCAAAAATAGCTGCAGGTAGGTCCTGTGTGATCTTTTCTGTACAGACTTGGTAACACCTATTTTGACAGGTAGAACCTTTTTTGTTTTGTCGCTTGTTCTCAATTAGGTTTTGAGATGGAACTGCTGGATAGTCAAATTTTATACAGTGGTCACCTCATTTCTATTTGGGTCCCTTTATCTTCTCACCTTCTCCCTCTTCCTGACTGCCTGGAATTATACAGAAGGTATATATTATGGCCTCAGAAATACCTACCCACCAGCTCTGCTCGGTGAATAGTAGCATTTCTGGGAAGAAAATGTCATAATTTTGATTCCTAACGCGATGCTAATATGTTGAGATAGTTTTTCTTTTTATGTGAACATTTATCCTCTTTTTTTCTCTTTTGCCTCTGATCTTTTTTTCTGAGATTGTTTTACTTTTTCTTTCTTTTTTCTTTTCTTTTTTGGCACTTTTTTCTTCTACAATAAGGCACACGGGAGGAAAAAGCAGAAGTAGAACTACTTGTTAATAATAAAAAATAGTATCGTTACATTAGTTTACAGTTTTCAAACTGCTTTTGCACACTTCCTCTCAGCATGAAAAGTAGTGATTTTTGTTTCAGCTTTGCGGAAGAGGAAACAGGATCCAAGTGGTTAATTACTTAAAGGTCACACTTAGTGATGGAGCTAGCATTCAGACTCAGGTCTTCTTCCTCCAGATAGTAATTATATCATGTTGCATCTTGTTCCTGGAGGCACTAGTTACCTTGTTACATTGACATTCTAGCTGAAAAATCAAACTAGATGAGTGGTCGAGAAACCATATCCCGGGGATTTAGGTGAACGTAAATCAAGACTTTCCTGGTGGCTTATTCGGTATAAATGCCAATGACGCCAGTTTACCTCAGCACCTCATGTCGTGAGCACAAGGTTGCCTATTGTAACCCTGTCTTGGTTTAGGCAACATATATCATTTTTAGTCAGGGCCTTTTGTTTTATGTGAAATTCAGTATTAATATAAAAAGAAATCAAGCTGTTTTTAGAGTTCTGTTTTAAAATGAGAGTGCACGTGTGCTTTATGCACTATGAGGGTTTTGATATATTTGTGGGATTTTATTGGATGAGCCTCAGGCAGTCATTATGTAGTGACTCTGGGCCACAGTTCACCCAAATCCAGAAATGATGATAAAAATTAACTTCAAATATTCTTGTACTTTGTTATGTACTGTAGAATAAATTTATTAACCCAATAATATTTTCATGCAGCAGGTTCTGTTACATTCCTATTCCGGGAGGGATCGTAAAGTCAGTTTTATGAAAGAATGAATTTCAAAATCTGTGGACCCTCTAATGAATTTGAAGGCATACAGATTTTGGAGTATTAGTAGATTTTAATACAACTTTAAATATCAGATGTGGGGTGCCTGGGTGGCTCGGTTGGTTAAGCATTGGACTTCTGGTTTTGGCTCAGGTCATGATCTCAGGGTATTGAGATCAAGCCCCACTTTAGGCTCCCTGCTCAGTGCAGAGTCTGCTTGTCCCTCTCCCTTTCCCTGCCTCACCTCCACCACTCCACCCCACACCCCCCCACCCCACGCACATGCTCTCTCTCTTTCAAATAAATAAATAAAATCTTTAATAAAAATAAAATCTTTAATAAATAAATAAATACCAGATGTATTAGTGCATGAAGTGATTTATATTTCTGCTTTCTTTCAGAAGGCTCACAGTTGTTGGATCTATAGGTGTTTGTTGAATGGAATTATTTGCTTTGAAGGAATTTTATGGTTTATAATATAAAAATAACATAAATTCCAAGAAAATAAAGCTCAATAACATTGACTGACAGTTTGTAAAATTGCTGTTGGTTGATTCTGGGATGGAAAATAGATTTCATTTAAAAAAATAATCTTTCTGGACATTGTTCCATAATTTCCCCTTTTTCTTAGTGTAGAAGCAAATGATATTTTAAAAATAGTACTTCCTTTCTCTCCTAAGCTACAACCATCAGAGAAAATTGATATGTTTACATGAATCAGCATTAAGTGGAAGAAAGGATCTGAAAGGCAGGCAGAATGCCAGGGAGTGCACAAAACTATGCGTGTCCTTCAATGAGTATGGGCTGTTGGAAGGAGATTCTCCTATATAATTAGGCCTGGGGAGTGTGGGATTTCCTAGCATTCTATGTTATGGGGGATTCTAATTTCTTTCAAGGCTTCCATGTACCAATGGCACATTATTTTCCATCTCAAAATTAGATTTAAAAAAAACAAAACCTCAGGTTTTGGTAGAGGGAGACTTTATTTGTAAAAATCCCTTGAAGGTAGTGATGAAGCAAATTATTATAACATTTGGAGTGCGATTTTTCTTTATTGTGGTAAAAATACAGGAAATTTACCATTTTTACCATTTAAGTGTCCAAATCAATAGCATTAAATTCATCACAGTGTTGTGCAACCAGTACTACCAGCCTTCTCCGGAATTTTTTCATCCTCCCACGTTGTAACTCTGTCTCTATCAAACAGAACTCCCCATTCCCCTTTCTCCCAGTTCCTAGTAACCTCTGTTCTACTTTCTATCTTTACAAATTTGCCTATCCTAGTTACCTCCTATAAGTGGGGTCAAACAAAATTTGCTTTTTTGTGTCTAGCTCACTTCATCCGTATAACATCTTCAAGTTTTATTCATTATGTAGCCTGTATGAGAATTTCCTTCCTTTTTAAGGCTGAATAATGTTGCATGGTCCACACCTACCACATTTTGTTTATCCAGTCATCTATTGATGGACGCTTAGGTTGTTTCTCTTCTTTTTTTTTTTTTTTTTAAAGATTTTATTTATTTGACAGAGACATAGTGAGAGAGGGAACACAAGCAGGGGCAGTGGGAGAGGGAGAAGCAGGCTTCCTGCCGAGCAGGGAGCCCGATGTGGGGCTCGATCCCAGGACCCTGGGATCATGACCTGAGCCGAAGGCAGACGCTTAACGACTGAGCCACCCAGGTGCCCCAGGTTGTTTCTCTTCTTCTGGCTGTTGTGAATAATACTACTGTGAATATTGGTGTACAAGTATCTGAGTACCTGTTTTCAATTCCTTTGTGTGTATCTATCTAGGAGTGCAATTCCTGGGTCATTTGGTAATCCTACATTTAATTTTTGAGGAGCTGCCAAACTGTTTGACACATTGGCTGAGCCATTTTTTATTCTCACCAAGAACGCACCAAGATTGTCCTTTTTCCACATCCTTGTCAACACTTTTAAGTTTCTGTTTTGTTGATAATAGCCATCCTAATGATTGTGAAGTGCTAATCTCATTGTGGTTTGCATTTCCCTAGTGACTATTGATGTTATGTTATCATGCAATCATATTGTTGACCGTTTATATATCTTCTTTGGAGAAATGTCTACTCATAGTGCTTTGTCCACTTTTGAATTGTATTGTTTGTTTTTTGGTTGTTGAGTTATAGGAGTTCTTTATATAGTCAGGATGTGAATCCCTTATCAGCTACATGAGCTACATGGAATGCTATTTTTAATGGCAAATTTCTAGAAAATCTTGTAAATATATTTTCCACCTACTTCTGTATGTGATTTTTTACATTTAAGAATTAATTCTGTGGAATTTCATAACATATGGTCATATAAATAAAGGGAATCACATATTTTAAAAAATTTTTTGCTTTTAAAGCCTCCCTGTCTTAGATCACATTAATTTTGAACAAATCAAGGTTAGATTAGAGGATATCTAGCCAGCATAAGAGATAACAATTCAGTGTGTGGTATAACTTTCAGTGACACAGCATTTAAACTGCAAATGAAATTAGAAGGGAGATTTGGCCTTTGTAGGTTTAGAAATTTGGATCACTGAAGAAAAGTTAGCTGCCATCTCTTAGAGTCTGTTTTTCCCCCTCAGTGTCCTCCTCATTTAAAAGGGTTCGTGAGAGTTGTAAAGCACCTACATTAAAAATAGGAATTTTTAAGACTTGGTTCCAGTTCCACTTTTGACATATTGATGTATTGATAGCGTTGAAAATCCAGCAGCAACTAAACCAAAAACTAAAGACATGAAAAAACAGTGTAAGACCTTTTGAACAGGAAAAGGATGATAAATATTTTTAGTCTCACTTATATGTGGAATCTAAAAAAAAACACAACCCAAAACAGATATACAGAATATTTACGTGGTTGCCAGAGGCTGGGGATGTGGTGTGGGCAAAATGGGTGAAGGGGACCAAATGGTACAAATTTCCAGTTATAAAGTAAACCATGGAATGGAATGGAATAGAATGGTGAGATAGTTAATAATACTGTATTGTATATTTGAATGTTGCTAAAAGAGTAGATCTTTTTTTTTAAGATTTTATTTATTTATTTTAGAGCAAGAGTATATGAGCAAGAGAGAGAGCATGAACAGGGAGGAGGGGCAGGGGGAGAGGAAGAAGCCGATTCTCCGCTGAGCAGGGAGCCCGATGTGGGGCTCCATCCCAGGACCCTGAGATCATGACCCGAGCCAAAGGCAGACGCTTAACCAGCTGAGCCACCCAGGTGCCCCAAGAGAGTAGATCTTAAAAGTTTATATCACAAGAAAAAAATGGTGACAGATGTTAACTTGACTTATTGTGGTGATCATTTTGTAATATATACAAATAGTGAATTATTATGTTGTGCATCTGCAATGAATATAATGTTTTATGTCAATTATATCTCAAAGGAGATTTTAGGAAGAATAGATTAGAGGAGAGAA